TTATTTTTTTGTCATCTTTTAGATGTCCAATTTTATTCTCACAATCACTTAATTATACATCGATCTTGTTAATCAAAATAACCACAACATATTTGACATTACCAACAAAACGCTCCACAAACATCATTGTAATCATCAAGTTAATTAAAATTCTATCCGTTAAACTATTAAAATATCGAAGTTTACCTTTTTTTTTTGTGTATGAAAATTTTGCACTAAATTCTTTTATAGAAAAGATTCTAAATCACACACACATCGAGGGTGCCCTTACCACTAATATCCTTATATTTGATAGACATCCTCAAACCGTAGTTAAATAACATTTCTGGTTGCTTGTGAATTGAAATTTTGCATTCATCAGAAAAATTCACAAATAGGGTAATTCATAACGATATTGACAGATTGTACAGTTTATTCAAATCACCAAGCTATCAAATTCACTGCAAGTAGAACGGTAAAATCACATAAAATTAAAATTTAACCACATAACCGCCAAAGTCGAAAAATGTAGACAACCAACAGGGTTCACAACAAAAGGAAACAGAATGCATCTAAGTAAGGAATCGAACCAAACTTTCCATACTAGCCATTGCACTCCAGATTTTGGAAATCAAACAAACTATTCTATCTGCTCACACATATCATAGATGATAATACATTGTCATTCTTCATCTTCAACCTTGCTTCTTTTTTTTTGGCCCGGGGGGGTGGTGGGGATATATATGTATATGTATGTGTGTATGTACATAAAGGTTTCTAATTCGATAGAGACAACAGTTTAATTATATGCAGGAGTTTACATCAGTTAGAATCTATACCATATATAAAAGGAGAGGAATGGATTTGGGGTAAACATTTATTATCATTTTATGAATTTTTATTTTTTGCCCTTATAAAAATTATTTTTACTTTAACTACCTATACACATGTTGTCAAAATAACCATCTATGAACATTTTTTTACTTTTAACTAATTAAGCGTATGCTTTCAACATAGCCGCTTCTAAGTATTACCACTACCAATACAAAATTATTTTATAAAAAAAAATTAAAATTTGCTTCAGCAATAAAAATTGAGTTTTTCTAATGGGTGCGTATTGGGAATTCATTGACGTATCTAACAGTCACCTAACTTACCATGTGTATGCAGTATGCACATGCTAACAATTATTACATTTCTGTGCACTTATATATATTTCCGACTCAATCTTACTTACACTTCTTTGTATTTATTCACTTTTCGTAATTAATCTTACATTTCCAAAAATATAATATCTAAAATACATCTTAATGAATGCTCTATAGGCACTCATTAGATAGACCCAGAAAAATTTTATACAAAATATATGATGATAAATATTATCTACTTCTTTATTGTACAAGCATCGAGTGTGTATTTATCACTAATTTTAATTAAGCTAACATTTTTGGTAAACCGGCGCAAATTTTGAAAACAATTAAACCGAGAAACTGCTAATTACTATAACCAAAACTTTTGGTTTGCCACGTGGAGGCCTCCCTAGGGCTCCGCTATACCATTATTTAAGATTGATATTCAGTTTTATGGACGACCAAGACTTGTTATGGCAAAAAATTCAACTGCCTCATCAATGACTCCAGATTTTTTAAGTTGCCATTTGAAAAGTTAAACTTCACCGTGCAGCTGCTGCAGTTTATATTTGCTAGATAAATTAAACCGGCCGACAAGCATCCGGGCCTCTCCAGTTGAGGTTCTATCTGGGGTGGCATTTTCCGACATTATCTGAAAATACGATACGAATTTAACACGAAATTAATGGATTTGGATTGAGATTTCGCGGGTTCGGATCAGAATCGGGTCGAACCTGATGAATCTAAAAAGAAAATAGGTCGAATTTTATGTCACCCACGGGTTGACCCAACCCGTTTATGAATTAAAATAATTTTATAAATATAAAAAATATTTTATCTAACTAAACTAAGTTATTTTTTTCCCCAAAGGCATTAACCACTTAATCCTAAATGAATTCATTTAACTTGTGTGAAGTTGGAATTGTTATGTTAGGACAAATTATGTATTACATTATTTTCTACTTTTATAGTGTTTTGATTTATTTCAGATTTGGTTTGGGATAAAACACTTTTACGATGTTTTAATTTATTTCAGATCTGATTTGGGATTGTTTTATCAAGATTTTTATTACTTGATTATGTAATTAGTTTTGTGCAGAATTGGTTCTGCTAGAAACTACAGTGGTAAATTAGTAAATTGGTGTTATGTTTCAAGTCATATCAGGTCATTCGGGTGACCCGCCAATTCAAAAATTTTGGGTTCAAGTCAGGTATCCTGATCTATCGTGGGGTGACAGGTCGTGTTCGGATCAACAGGTTTTCTATTGTACATAGGTCTCAACTCGACCAGCAAACCATTACTGACCTTATTGCTACACCTAGTTCTATCCAATTCCGTTCTATTATATAAACTAATATAATCTCAGTGTAAATTAATAGGAGTATATTGGTGTAATAGTGAACTTTACACCAACTCAATTATAATTTAGATTTATATAAAAAATGTATCAGCTTACAGAACTGGACAGAATTGACATTGGAGAGACCTATTTCCGGCATAGGAAAGTATTTTTTTTTTAAGTTATTAGCAAACAAAAAATATACCATTGTTAGTTGGAAAGTACTTGGTATCACCACACCCCAAAAATGATCACAATTAAGATATTTGATGACATTCGAAATTGCAACCTGCAAATGGCAGCACTCTTCTGCACAGTACATAGAACGGTAATCACTTTATTATGTGTATATGTAGTGATAGTAATCCACTAATCCTACTCGATGACAGGAATCTTTGCAGTATAATACTCCATAAACATAAGCAGTTTGACAGTGACGTAAATACCTTATCCAACCACGTGGGAATCTATTCAAGAAGGAAGAATCAACACCTTATTTGTTACCTAGATCATTTGACTAATAACTGGAGCTAGAACAGAGCTAATTAAGTCTGAATCCAAGAACATCATCCACAAGTTTGGCAATGGAGAGCAACCCTCAAGTCTATTCTCCTCAAACACAGCAAAACAATATAGTACCAGTCATATATTTCACCACAGAAAACCTAAATCCTGGTACAGGTTCTTGGTTTTCTACTTGCAAAGCTGTGAGGGAAGCCCTGGAGGAGTTTAGCTGCTTCGTCGCAGTTTATGACAAAGTTGAACCTGAGTTCATTAGTGATGCTTTTGCATCTTTTAAGGAGCTGTTTAACCTCCCCATGGAGACAAAATTGCTTAATACTATTCCTGATAGGCCAGCTTTTGGCTATATAAGACCAAGGCCTGAAACTCCTGTTCATGAAACCGTTGGTATTGAAGATTCAACAACTATTGAAGCAGTTCATAGCTTTGCAAATGTCATCTGGCCTTCGGGAAATGATCATTTCTGGTAAGATGAGATGTTGGAGAAAATCTTTTAATTTGTGCCTATTCTCTTCTTAATTCTTAACTTCCATGTTCCTGATAATAGAGTCCAAATTCTTGTTGAAAACAAAAACTCTAGAGAATGGAGAACTAAACTAGACAAAGTCTGATTTGTATTATGTTTGATGTAGGTCTATAATCTATATGTATGCATGTATGTATTGTAAGGAATCATAGATACATGCATGCTAGAAAATTAAAATTCTTTTATTCCTTTAGTAGGTCGATCTTTGATTAAATTCATGTGACATAAAGTTAGTTTAAGAAGGTTATCTCAATCCATGAGGATCTTCTTAAACCGATGGAGATTTAATGCGGAGGGGCAAAATGATCCACGTTATATGGATGTTTGGCTTCTAACGATGATCTTCACAAACTTCCTTAGCTAGAACTTTCTAGGTTGAGTTAGTTTAAACTAGATTAGTGCTAACTATTGCCAAGACACCTCACACAAATTATTGAGAAAAACTCCAATTTTCACTGTGAAAAACCTTGTTGAGAAAAATCCTAGTTTTTCCCCATGAAAAACCTGCTCCAGTAACAGAAATAAGAGATGCGATTTTTTTCTTATTTTTTTGGACGAATTTTAGGTATTTTTCTCTCAAGATTATTTTTCTCAAAAATCTCACAAGATAATTTGTGTGTCGATTAGTTTTGCTAGTAAAATCTTAGTTCTTAGTGAGTATTTATAGATAAAAAAGTTGTACATATCCTTATGAAAACCCTGAAGCCAGTTTTGAATAGGATTTAGCCTTCTTATTCTTATACAACTCTTGTATTTGGAAAATTTAAACTTATTTGTACCATAAGTCTCTCAAGTTTAATTTGTTTTATAAATTAAAATATAAGTTATAAAAACTTATTTTTTAAGTCCCTACTTGAAATTCTTTTAATCCAAATAAAAAAAATTCTTAATGTGTGTGATCTATTAGGTTCTCTCATATACATTGGCAATAAATATGAGTTTTAATTCTTAATAAATAAGAACTAGATAAATAAAAATTTCTTTTAATCTATATATCATTGATTCTACTAATCAATCAACTGATTCTTATAGATCAAGATTTACATGTAATAATGCATCATGACCACCCAAGTAATGAGAAAAGTCAAGTGGATGATTTAACCTTATTTCAGTGAATGTTTGTTATGTAATTAATATTCTTTTATTATACTTATCTCCTATTAATTTTGGAATAAGTGGTGCCCATTCCATTATGTGATTAATGTTCTTTTTTTGTACTAAAATACAACTCTAATAGAAAAGTACGTAGAAACACTTTCTAAGACTCTTCCATTTAGTTCTAAGAATTCTGAATTATACTTCTAGAAGTGGTAGACATGAAATAACTCCTCTTCTATAAGAGAAAGTAAATCCTTATAGATGATTTATCACCTTTCCATACTTCAAATATATACCTATATACTAATTATGTGAGCATTTCTTGTTATAGGAGCAATCATATAACAAACAAAGTATAACTATCCATATTCAAAATAATATAATAATGTTTAGTCTAAAGATCAAATGGCCTACCTTTTTGGGATTCTTCGGGATTCAAATGGCCTACCTTTGATTGGATTTTCGGCATATCTTGGGGAAACTACATGTATCCGTGCAGAGGCTCGTGCCCTCCTTATTGGTCTTCAAACATGTGTACATAAGGGTTTTGGGAATCTCTATGTGCAATCTGATTCTTTGGTTTTAGTTGGAATTCTTCAGCATCGCATTCAGTGCCCCTGGCAGATTCGACGGGAGATTAGGCAGATTTGGCAGTTCGTGGAAGATCCTGATCGCTTTTCACATTGCTACAGAGAGGCTAACACGGTGGTTGATGTGTTGTCCAATGTGAGCGTATCTCATCCAGAGCAGCAAGTCAAGATATACGAGACCTTTAATACGCTTCCACGTATGGCTCGTGGGGCAATTCGCCTCGATAGACTAGGATTGCCTTCTATTCGAAAAATTAGGTGTATGTAAAAACTTGCTCTTCATTAAATAAAAATACCCTTTTATAAAAAAAAAAAATGTTAAGTCTAAAGATCACTTATACAAACGTCACTTAGAGATTAATCCTTTGGCACTTAAAGGATATATCTATGACTGGAAAAAAAACTCAAAGCCCAACAACCTAGTCCAACCTGCTTACTAATTTAAGAGGTTGAGTCGGGCCGGTTGGGTGTTGGATTAATTGGATGTTGGGTGAAAATGACCCAAATAAGCTTTGGGTGTGTAGGGTTTTTAAGTTGGGTATCCATTAACCCAAGTACTTAGCCATTAACCTAAAATGCTTAGATCATTTTTTTCTTGTATTTCACCTCATGTAAAATGACATTAACCCCATATATGATCTTTTTTTTTTCCTGCATCTCCTGATCTTTCCTATTATTAAATGTGAATATAAATTCTCAGTAAATTGGAGATATCACTAAGACAATAGGTTTAATAGAAATGGAATAGTTTTAATGGCCATCTGAGTTATTGTCTGGAAAAAGCATGGCCATGTTAATGTCAAAAAATTTGTAATGCATGGTTTTGCTTGAATACCTGCTGTTATCCTTGAAAACACAAATGTAAGCATGGCAACACACATGCAAACGAAGAGAGTCAGTTAAGACAACACATTTCAATCAATCAAGATAGAATGTTTTAGAATATACTACTGACATAATTGTTAATGCATTTCATGTTCCATTATTTGCATGCAAGCTTATGAAGGATGGCAATCCAAGTTTTCTAGGAACTTGCATTAAAGGCATCTATACATTGTATTTTCCAACTATTTCATACCCTTTATTTAAATCATTGCCAAAAAAAATGTTCCTAACTATGATAACTTCCAGTAGATATAGTCAGCTACTGTCTATCACCAGTTAAGTATGTTTAATATTCATATCATGCCTTTTCTATTACATGAGATAGGTGCATATAGGCTCTTAATTTGGAATACTAGATCATGCCTCATAATTTGGCGAATCCTTTGATTATATTTTATGTGATTTGATTTGCTTTTGAAAAAGGATTTTCTGCTCTTAATTTGCCAATTCAAGTAGTTTAAATGTGTGTATTTGTATATATGAAAGTATGTTAGTTTGTGTTTTACTGTATCCGCATGTGTAAAAATGATGTGTTTCTATCTAAGGAACTTAAGAAGTGAGTTTGTGTTTGTACATGTGGAAGCATTTTAGTGTGTGAAAATATGTTCATGTATGTGAAAATGAGTTTGTGTGTGTAAAAAAATTATTTTGTATGTGCAAATGTGTGTAAGAGAGAATTATCTATTAAAATGTATAAAATTATACGTTGGGTCATATTTGGGTTACTGGGTTTGAGATGATTCAATATAACCCAACTCAAAATCAACCAAATCCATGGTTGTTTAGGTTGGATATAACCCATTTAAATAAAAACCCAACACCAACTAGCCCAATTGCCAGGGTTAGATATCTCTATGCGAATCAATCTAGTGAATTTGATCATTTTATCTAGAACCCATATATTAGTTTAGGTGTCTCACACACCACAGTAGATGAGATTTACTACTCTTATATAGAAGTAAGTGACATAGTATATATTAGTCTAATTGTATTAACAACGCCATGTCTTGTTAATATTTTTACTAGATATATTTAAGAATAAATTTTATCTCTTATGATTTCATCGATTAGATTTACTCTAGGGATGTTATCATACAAATATAAATATATTTGCAATAAATATGATGAAGATGCCATTTATAATAACATAAATAGTTCAAGTGCATATTAAAATCTAGAAGTTAATTGACTTTAGGGCATATACATTTTCATGTATATTTTTATGCACATATCTTTTTCTATTTCTTTTTTACCTTACCTCATTTTCATATATGTCAACTATAATTCTCCCCTTTTCTTGTGTTAAATCTTAGTGAAACAACACACTCCTACACAAAACAAGTATCAGAGGTGAACAGGTTGGTGTGCAGAATGATATTTGAAAGCTACGGTGTTGGTAAGTACAGCGACTGTCACATGGAATCAACATCTTATCTCCTCAGAGCCAATGCTTATAGAGTTCCCCATGAGAAGGAGCCAAATCTTGGAATTATTCCTCATACTGACACAAGTTTTGTGAGTGTTGTTAAGCAAGATAGTGTTCAAGGGTTACAGGTTCAATTAAAGGACGGTACATGGATTCCTGTTCATTTGCCACAATCTTCCTTTGCTGTCATAGCAGGTGATGCCATGCTGGTGAGTAATTTTCTTACCCTATCTGTTTGCTTCCAATACCATTTGAAAACTTTAGTCTCGAAAGCACTTTTGTTCACACATTATTTTAGGTCTCACATTATTCCCGAAGGTTTTAAAGTAGCCATATTAACCCCTATTTTATCTAAAGTGGCATATGGATGGAATGCATCATTTGTTACGCCAATTGAACCAGACACGTTCCAAAATTGCATGTGATGAAATCATAATATCCACCTCCAATTTTTTGCATGAGTATCCACTTTAACCTCCTATGGTTACACTGCTGATTGATATAATATTAAGTAAAAGTAATACTAGTATTTCAACTAACGACATTATGGATACCATTTTCCATTAAGTTTCCACTTTACATCAAACTATAGGAGAGTGAAGTGGATATTTTAAAACATTAAGGAGTTATGTGATAATGGGTAAAATTACAAGGGGATGATGTGTAAGTTACCGTATCAACTATCAATAAAATGTAATATTTTATTTTATATTCCAAAAACTATTTTATCTCAAAAGATATTTCATGAAAAATGCTGACATGTGAAATATTTTAATAGCATTTTTGTTTGTTGTCTTGTCTACGGTCTCAGTAGGATATTTAGTTGACCAAAATGATAACTGTGTTGATTCAAACTAGAGGTGGCAAAATGGGCGGGATGGGCGGGATTTGCTTGGGTTTGTGATGGAACCGAGTCATATGGGTTTGGGCCCAACCTTACCCACATGTGTTTTGGGACTAACTTGGGCGGGATCACTTTGGGATGGGTTTAGATTGATCCCGCTCAATACCCAAATCTATTTTCTACATATTTTTTTTCCTTTAATTCATTTTTATTTTTTATATAATTTTAATATTTTTGATTTATTAATTTTTTTTTAGTTTTATTAAATAAACATGCAAGTGCTTTATACTCAGGATTCCCATAAAAAATTGAATTAACAAATAAAGGAAAAAATAGATATACAGTCATATTCCAACATATATCAAGATGGTCAAGGTACTTAAGGTGTTGAATATTTATCCTCATCATTGTCCAAAGATGACAGGTCTAAATTGACTGAAATGTTGAAAATTCTTGTGGATAATGACTAGGAAAATTACTAGATTATATTCTCTAGTATTACTATAAAAATTGTTAAAGATAATTTTTTAATCTAAGACTCCGTTTGGATTGGCTATTTTTTCAAAAAATAAGTTTTTCAAATACAATGTTACAGTAATATACAATAACTCAAAAAACATCCCATCCATATTAGTATATCAAATATTTCAAAAAAATTTTATAGTAAAAATTTTTCATATACACTGCTATAATAAAATATTTCAAAAATACCCCCCAAAAATAGCTAAACCAAACAGAGCCCTTGTTATTTGAACCCAATGGGTACCCAAGTATTTCCCAAGTATTCCCATCAATTAATGGGTACAATTGGGATTTGTCCCATTTTAAACCCAATATCAAAATCCAATACCCATCCCGCCCAAAGTCCCCATGGGCATGGGTAACCCATTGGGACTTGGGACAAATTGCCACCTCTAAATTCAAACTAATGCAATTGAATGATGTATGTTAAGACATTGCCATGTTTCCCACACTGCCAAAGTAAAAATTTTTACACTAATAAATTTAGATGCATTATATATATATTATACACAAACATATGGATTAATCTTTCCTATACTGATGGGGTTGGATGAATGCCACATCATCTGAATTTGAACTTCAACATCAAATTTTGTTTATGTGGCATGCATCTAGACCCGCTAGTGTATACACTGTTAATGTATAAAAAATTCAAATTTATATATATATATATATATATATATATAATATAAGAATAGAAATTCAAATTTGAATGCAAGTTGTGTGTCCTGCATCCGAGCATGCAGGTTAGAAAAATTGACTAACCCTGCAAGCTTAATTGCACACTAAACCTGCATGTGGTATAAACCTACATGTAATGCTAGCAATTTGAGGTTGGAAAATTACTTATGCATACATATAATCACTTGAGCAAGGGTAAATTTCAATTTAGTCTTCCAAAATAGGTTAAAGAGTCGATTCAACCTCTAAAAGTGATCTAGTTCCAATTGAGAACTTTAAACTGGAATTTTTGTTTCAACATGGCCCTTCTGTTAATTCATGTTTGGTCAATAACGTCTAACCAAACCTTAGTGGCATATTGATTTTTAGAGACTTTGCAGCAATTAGTCTTCTGTCTAAATTAGCTAAAAATGATAGAATAGTGCTCTTCTAATCAGATTTGAAAGATTGAAAATAGATTTAGAAGAGCAATATCTTATCCTTTTTAACTCATTTAGGTGATAAATGATTTGCTTTTAAGTCTCTAACAAAGAGATGAGACTTTACTTTATCACTAAAGTTTAATAAAACGTTATTGACCAGATTTGAAATGATGGAAGGGCCTACTCGGTACAAAATATCCCCTTTGGACAGGTTAATTGGGACCTAATCATTTTTAGGGTCTGAATTGATACTTTGATCTTCTCTGAAAGGCCAAATTGAAATTAACCCCTTGCTCTAATAACTTATGTTTACACAGTTCATTCATACAATATTTTCAGCTAGAGGAAGATTGATAATAGGCATATTTTAGTCCGGTTTCTGGCACCATAGAAAACCATAAATCAATTCGTGTTTTCACTCAATATTGTTATAGGTTAATCTTTCCTATATTATTGGTGTAGATAATTTGTTACTCTAGCAGTATTAA